GGAGGTACGCAGACAGCAAGGGACCAATGAACAGATACCAAAAGAAAAGAATGTCCACACCTTTATCTCAGCGGTTCTGCCAGGCATCTGTGGCCGCTCCGATCCTTTTCCCACGTGGTCTCACCCAAGATGGCGGCTCCTGGAGCAGCTGAGCGTCCTGGACTAGAAAGCAATGGATTTCTTGCTTTTGCCACAGATTTCCCCAGCTGTGAGCCTTCCAACCTTCTAAGTATCCCTTTATATGTGGTTCAGAGTTCTGGGACCATCCCCTAAACCTGCTGGTCGGGTATTCTGTGTTGTTGTTGGCGGAGCTCTCTGCTATACGTCCACCTGATCCGCCATCTTGTTTGTTCCTCAAAAAACTACATGTTTATTAAGGAAATATTGTAACTAATGTTAACTTTTATTTAGCATGAAAAAGGACAAGGAGTAATAGAAGAGAATGAAGTCTACAGTAATACTTTGGCAGGAGTCTGGGTGACAACCGGCAGCACTCCAGTTCTGAGAAGAAACAGGATACACAGTGGCAAGCAGGTAGGATTATTTTGAACTCTTGGATGGGAAGTAGATTGTTTTTTAAACAATTTTATGTTAATTTTTTTTTTTTTTTTTAGGTTGGTGTTTATTTTTATGACAATGGACATGGCGTGCTAGAGGACAATGATATATATAATCATATGTATTCAGGGGTTCAGATAAGGTAAATATTTTTACATTTGGCTTTCTTTGGGGAGGAAGTGGGATATAAGTACGTACAAGACAGTTTTCTCTTGTTTAATGCTCAACCTTTATATTCCTCCTTTTGTGTATATATAGTCACAATCTTAATTGTCAGTCTTATTGTAAATTGTCAGCCTATAGCTTTCCTTAAACTAGCTGAGGACAGCAGTGGAACATATGCTATAAGAGCTTATTTGCACTCTTGAGCCTTTGATGCACTGTGAGAGTCAGATCAGCTGTCAGTGTGCTCCTTGGTACTGGGAGAGTGGATCCTGACTGTTCCTTATTGTTCTGTAAGGTATCACTGAGTCAGTTCCAACTCCTGCCATGTTTATGGGACAGACTAGCACTACCCCCAAAGAGTTTTCTAAACTGTTATCACAAAGTCTTTTCTCTCACAGAGCTGCTTGGTGGGTTTGAACCACTGGTCTTTGATTTTGCAGCTGAGTGCTTAACCATTGTGCCACCCTTGACTTGTAATTGAAACCAAAGCAAACCCATTACTATGGAGTCAGTTCCAACTCATGGCAATCCTGTAGACAGAGTAGAACTGCCCCAAAGGGTTTCCAAAATTGTGTTTCCAGAAGTAGACCACAACATCTTTATCCTGTAGAGTAGCTGGTGAGTTCAAATTACACACCTTACAGTTAGAAGCCAAGTGCTTAATAACTGCACCACCTATAAGGAGGAATTCCTCTGTAAGGTGAAATCTGTGGTTTCTCAAAAAGTTATATGCAAAGGCTCTTCAAAAAGTTCATGGAAAACAAATTAAAAGATAGTGAAATTTTGAAGCCCCCCCTTTTTATAAACTTACACTAATTTTTTATAATACATCTGAAGGATAAGACTACCAGTTTGAAAGTATAACATGAATCTTGCTCAAATTGAAGTAAGAGCAAATATCAGATTTATGGTGAAGCTTGGGTAGAAGAATGATGAAATCATTGATGTTTTATGAAAAGTTTATGGGAACGATGCCACAAAGAAATCTGCAGTTTATGGATAGCTCATTTTAAGAAGAGGCATAATGGTATTGAAAGTGAAGCCCGCAGCAGCAGACCATCCACATTAAGTAATCTTGTTTGTGCCCTAATTTAAAAAGCAGAAACCATAACCAACACCATAGACATCTCAGTGAGTTCAGCTTACACAATTTTGAGTGAAAAATTAAATTTGATCAAACTTTCTGCTTGATGGATGCTAAAATGGCTGTTCCCAAATTGGCAGCAAACAAAAACAGAGCTTCCAATGGAAATTTTAAACAAGTGGGATCTAGATCCTGAAGCATTTCTTAAAAGGAATTGTAACAGGAGATGACACATGGCTTTACCAGTGCAATCCTTCTTCAGATGTTTTTATCCTTTTTTGTGTTTGTTCTT